GGCCCCCATTTGTATTTCTTGAAGCCACTAACTTTATGTCATTTGTTACTGTACCAGGTACAAAACTAATATAGTCTCCAATATGCTGCTGTACTACTTCTGGCCACTGGAGCTTTGCACATCTCCTTCCCTGTGTTTGAAACGAATTTAATAGCTCACTTTATACATTAATATTTACTGAGTACCTATAAGGCACTGCTGTACCACTGGGAGACAGCAGTAAAGAAATCAATTATAGCATTTATATTGAAGAAATAAGAAGGACACAAGGTGACAGAAACACACAGACACACAGCATGACAGAGAACAGACAAATACGATAAAAGGAGAGAAGCACTAACACTAGAGAACTGTTAAACAGGAGAAGGTCTCATTGAGAAGATGACATCGAAGTAGAGATCTGCAGAGGTGAAAGCACAGGAGGTAAGAGTTCTAGCAAGAGGAGACAGCAAGTGCCACAGCGCTGAGGCAGGAACAAGCCCAAATAGCTTCTGGGAGCAGCATGGAGGCCAATATGGTCACAGCTGGGTGGCTGCAGTCTTGTGCCTGTCACATTGTTCCACTTAACTTTAAACTCTCTATGGCTGAATATAGGCCTTCTTCTTTTTCTGCCTTTGCAAAATACTTAGCACAGGGCTATATAGGACCAAATGCTCAGCTAAATATCTGGAAGAATGGCTTTAGAAGAGATCATGTTTTTGTAACTATTTTGAATAAGTTATTGTCTGTGTGTCTCTTGTATACATCTCAATTACTCCCTACAACATTCTTGCAGGGCATCTATCCCTACAATTATAAACGGCACAAGACAGTTGTGAAGCTTAGGGAATTGGTCCAGATGTCCTCCTACTCCTAGATGCCAGAGGCAGGATTTAAAGGCAGGTCTGTTGATCCGGACCCCAATCTCTTTCCATCTTGACTATCTTCATGACATTTGAATTGGTTTTTCCCAAGCTTGCTTATAAGGAGAGACTTACATCTGTGAGCTAATAAATTAAAAATATTGTCACCTATGGTTCCTAAGATTTTCCTAGCACTAAAAGATAATAAAATTTCCCTCAACATTGAGATCCCAGCAATTCATGTATCCTTCTGCCAAGCAGGATGAGCTCAGGACCAGAACAGAGCAATTTCATATGGGAATTATATTCACAACTAAATCTGCCACCAGCAAACAGAATCTGGTTAGCTGTTCTTTTGGACTGACACTAAGCCTTTATTTACTTAACAGAAGAGCAGGCAAGCTTTGAAATTGCTTCCACACATTCAGAAACAATAGTGACCAGAGGATTACACTTCAGCCAGACAAAGCCACACTCACAGTTAACTATCTACCTCCTGTCTACTAGGGTAAATGTTTCTTGGTTAGCCCCAACTCACTTCACCTGGGACAATCCCAACCCCTGTGGCTCTCCACAACTCCACTTACAGCCTGCCCTGGGGTATGTTCCTCTCTCCCCAACTCTGAAGCAGGAGACCATGCAGTTGCATATCTCTGTAAATAGGAATG